ACACACACACACACACACACACACACACACACACACACAAACTGTAAACACACTGAATATGGAGCACGAAAACATGTTTCTACTTGTCATCGAGACGGGAGGAGTAAAACAAACCCTGGTCAGCATCACATCCCCGATGTCCTGAACAATCGGCGATTCTCTTCGCTTCTTCATCGCCTCACACAGACTCGCTGCAAACGAGAGACACAAAAGCAACAAAGAACATCAAAGCCTGGAAATGTTTAAATTAATCATGAAAACAACACACGAGGTATTTTTAAGAACGAGGACAAAGCTTCCCCTTAGTGAGGGAGTACAGTAGTCTAACACTGAGTGTCTACATGGCTCGAAATAAAGGCTCAGCAAACATATAGAAAAGCTGCTGTTTAGCTAGCAACACAGAGCCGTGAACACAAAGCAACACATCGGGTGTGCAAACAGACACAGCAGGACAGCAAAGGGCTCTTAAAAAGGGAGGATTTCCATTTACACAGGATATGCTTCTTATTTAACTCATCTAACTAATATGAAGACATCCAAACATCAATCTTTATTCCATTTTCTTGCTTGTATTGATTAAAAGGTCACTAACCAGGCCTGTGTATAAACACTTTCACAGGCCTTTAGCAGCTATGGTGGACAAACACTGACCGTGGAGCTCGTAGACTTGAGGCAAGTTGGGGAAGATGCAGGCCAGCTCGTCAGAGTTCAGGACAGTCCTCATCTTCTGATAGAAAACCTGGTCCAGGACCCGTAAGGTTCGCAGGTGGGACACCTCAGTGGTGAACAGCTCTGAACAGGATGAGGCCACATGAGGAAAGAGGAAAGGGTCATACTACCTCGCATATGTGAGAGATGTGTATTAGGAAATAAAAGCAAATTAAAACCTGCTGATTGTACTGAGAATTAAATGCTGTAGCTCTTACCGTATATGACAGCCTGTCTATCAACCTCACTGGGGCTGAGTGTTGCAAGGAGCTGAGGGGTAACAGTCTCCTGCCAGGTCTTACTATCCATCACGTCATCCTCCAGCGCTGCAGCATCGGGTAGCAGGGCCAGCGGCGACTCCACGCTCCTACACGGGGATCCAGAAACATGGGTGGATGAGGCGGACCGACGTGTACCCGCAGAGAGATGGAGCGATGGGCAGACAGCAGTGGCGGACGACACACGAAGAGACAGAAAATAATCAGCCGTGAATCCACGATCATCTCTGTAACTCCATGTCTAAATAGTTCTTTTAAAATGTATTAGTACTGTAAGATGATCAAAGTAAAAATTTTCCTGCTTGCGAACCCAACTTCATCTTCAAATGTCCATATCTTTATTCCTTTGCCCTGTCCATCTACTGTGACAACAGTTTAACTCACCTGCGTCTAGACCGAGGGGTGTATGGGGGTGTAGGGTTCTCTAGAGACCTGAGTTTGAGAGAGTGGAGAGAAAGACGGCACTAGGTGAAAACCTAGAATTCTCAGGGTCAAATCAGGGGCAAAAAACTTTATTTACATGTTCTTCAGGGGATCAAAAGTCTCTCCTTCAAATAAAGTGACCTCAGCTCCTGCCTTAAGGCTGCTAAGGTGCGTGTGTTGGTGTTTGAGCACCCCGACAGGTCTGGGCTTGGTCAATCTTTACCGTGCAGAGTTGCTGGATGCAGAGGACGAGGCGCTGTGCTGCAGAGGCCTCAGGCCTGGCCCGTCCCTCTCATCCGCGCAGTCCTCCATGTCCACATCGCTACGAGAGCGGGGCACAGACTCGGCTCCTGAGGTGCCGCCCCGCCGTCGCCCTTCTCCCTGAGCCTTTAGTGACTCGCTGCGAGCCAGACGAACTGGTAGAGGGCTGGTGGGGACAGAGCGCACAAAGCAAACCCAAAAGGCTAAATCAGTTTAACCACTTCCAACTTACAAACAATAAAGCAAAGTCTGCTTCGCTCAGTTGCTGCCAGCTGGCTGTGAACTTATACTGCAGGCGCAGCTACCTGTCCATTTCATCCCCGAGGCTGCTGGAGGAGAGCCTTTGCGGGTCAGCGCCGTCGCTGACTTCCTCGCCGGTCTCGGTGCTATTCTCAAACTGCTGAATGATGTTGCGCACGCTGCCAGGCCGGACTGCCAATACAAACGTAAACTTTAATGGTATAATAAAATAACATTCCTTTCCTCCCCCCCTACACAGACACACACTACAAGGAGAAATGGTTGATGAAAAAACAAAAACAAAAAATTCAAATCCATCACCAGGTATGATTCTTAAAATTAAATTTGCACAAAAGGGTAAAATTAAAAGTGAAATTATAAGTGAAGTACCTTCGGTGGGTGACAGCGGGACATGGAATGCTACAAAATCAAAGCGAGCGAAACAGAAACAACAATAAAAATCAGAATAATGACACAATGAAAATCCCATAAATCAACGCATGAAACCAGGAAAAATCAATTAAAAGGCGAACAAAGGACAAAAAGGGATCAATAGAAGCAGAATGAGTGAGAGGGTCACGTGTGTCAGCATGCTGTTGTTTGTTGTGTGTCAGCGAACCATCAGCTGACACTGACAGGAGCTGTTATTAGACAATGTCGAGAGACCGCAGGAAGCATGACCATGAGCCGGGCCTGGATGATGATTTAAAAAGCTTCTTCTAAAGTGTTTGTGCTGTTTAATTTACTGGACTGGGATGTGGTCCGGGGTTTGCCGATGTACTTCAGGATGGGATTTCTCTTTTTATCCTCTCCATCTTTTTCCTTCTTGGTACCGCTCAGCTGTGGAGAGGAGGTCTGAGTTCAGTCACTGAGATCGAGTGCGACAAACAACAACTTTTAAGAGAGGAAATTGGAAAACACACAGTCACATCAAAATGAATATCATGCAATCAATGCAGAGAAACTGGCCACTTTGTTAGGTACACCTGTTCAACAGCTCGATAACACAAATTAGCCAATCATACGTCAGCAACTCGGTACATTTAGGCAGGTAAACATAGTCGGGACCTGCTGAAGTTTGAGTTGAGCTTCAGAATGAGAAAGAAAGGCTGCTCTTTGTTTTGACTACCAGTAAGCTGCAGTTCATCGGGCAAAAGTCCCTCAGTGATGGGTCAGAGGAGAATGAGTGAGCTGATAGGAAGGCCAGAGTAATTTAGATAACGACTCATTATAACTAAGATATGAAGAAGAACATATCTAAATGCACAACTCTTTCAAAGCTTGAAGCAGATGGGCTACAGCAGCAGAAGATCACACCTGGTGTCACTCCTGTCTGCTGCAACATCTGGATGGTCTCAATTTGGCATAAACAAAAGCATGGATCCATCCTGCCTTGTATTAACTGTTCAGCTGGTGGTGTAATGGTGTCGGGGGATATTGTCGTGACAATGACTTGAATGTCAATGAATGTCAACATGGACCAAAATCTTTGAGGAATGTTTCCAGCACCTTATTGAATCTGTGCCATGATGAATTACAGCAGCTCTGAAGGCAAAAGGGAGTCCAACATGGTAGCAGTAGGGTGTACCTAATACAATCACAGGCCAGGTCTTTTTCACTTTCTCCAAGTTTGTTTGTTCTTTAAGACGCCGTCACTTTAATGATCACAGCTGCAGAAGGTGACAAGATAAAAGGTAAGTTTCCATTCTTACCTTCTTGGACTTTAAGAAAGTGATCCACTTGTCCTTCTCTGTGGTCAGGCCGGGGAAGACCTTGGAGTCTCTAGGCTTGATCCCAGAATGACGCAGGTAGAGGATCACAGCTGAAGCCAGAGGAGAACTGAAGGAGAGGAGTGAAGAGCAGAGACCAGAAAAGAAGGTTTGAAGAATTAGGACATTTCTAATGCAGGTGTAGCTGTTATATTTCACTCCAACAGGCGAGCCTCTTCTTTTACCTTCTGTCCTCCTCGTGCTTTGATCTGCAGCAGGAAGACAAAGAGACAAAACGTTGTTAACTCCCTCCACGACAAAAATCCCTTTTCCAAAGAACTCCTCAAACTTAAATCCACTTTATTCAGGTGCAAATAAGAACGCAAGAAACAGCACCGAGCCAGAGTCATGTGACGGGAAGCAGCTTCTGTGTGTGTATAACGTGAGAGGAGGAAATGTCATGTGGTTTTTCCAGAGTTTGTGGCCGGGATGAATGACCTTTGTCATGATAGCTTTACTGATATGTAATAACAGTTTTATTGGACGCCTAACAACTGACGGCGTCGCTAGGGAAACCTGGCTCAGTCTGTGTGTGCGCGTGTGGTGAGAGCACGAGTAAATAAAATTAATTGGACACAGCAACACAGACACAGAAAGCTGAATCAGCCGATCAAACAAAAACAAACCGCTGCCTTCACTTTGAACTCGATGTGGTTTAAACTTTACAGTTCAGGGCTAAAATACCACAATAAATGCAGACAGACTCACAGTATTTCCCACAGGGCGGTGACTTGTTTGTCCACCACCTGTTTCTCTTTCACAGCGTCTCCATCAAGGTGCTGCAGGTCTCCTTCTCCAAACAGAGAACCGAGACCCATCATCTGCTTGTTCCTGTTGAAACACACGGACACGAGGTTAATCTGAGAAACTCTTCTTCGGATTTAAAAACAATGTTTTCCACTGAATAAACAAACAAAATGAATCCTCTGTGATGTACCTGTAGTCTTGCAGCTGGTCCTGGATTTCTGGCAGCACAAGCTGCTGCAGCTCAGACAGAGGTCCCCGGATGTCCTCCTGAGCATGAAGTCGATTTTCTTATGGGACGGTGGACATAATAGCAAAGGGTACAGTTAGATATCAGGAAAAATCAAACTAATATTGATAATAATAATAAATAACATGTTTGCTTTGACAGAATAACATGAACCTTTAAACTTGATGACTACTATTTATTTACTCTACTCTCCAACTGTTTGGCAGGCTCCACCTTGTGGGCAAAAGATGCACTGCATTGGTGGATCACTGGGGGAAGAGAGACACACTGGCCACTTTATTAGGTACATGTTGCTGCTACCATGTTGGACCCCTTTTTTCCATTAAAAACTGCTTCAATTCTTCATGGCACAGATTTATCAAGGAGCTGGAAACATTCCTCTGAGATTTTGGTCCACAGTGAAATGATATCCACAGAGACTCATCAGACCAGGCCACAGCCAGTCCAGTCTTCTCAAGTCCAATTTTGTTGAGTTTGCATGAATTACAGTCAGAGTTTGCTGTTCTGCCATTGCAATCTTCTGCTGATGCGCTGTGTGTTCAGAGATGCTCTTCTGCAAACCCTGATTATAATGAGTGGTTATTTGCATTACTGTTGCTTTCCCATTAGCTAAAAACCGCCCGGCTGCTCTCCTCTGTCATCTTGCATCAAAAAGGCATTTTCTCTCAGATAACTCTCTCTTTTTCAGACCAGTGTCTGTGAACCCTAAAGATGGCTGTGTGGGAAAATCCCAGCAGATCAGCATTTTTTGACCAGCCCATCTGGCTCCGACAACCACACCACACTCAAAGTCACTTAAACCTTCCTGTGATGCTCAGTTTGAACTTCAGCAGGTCATCTTAACCATGTCTACATGCCTAAATGTGTGCACTTCCTGGCATGCGACTGGCTAATTTGATATTTGCATTAATAACAGTTGAGCAGGCATTCCTAATAACATTTCCCACATCTGGCACTGAGCAGGAAGTGGGTAGGCGACATGAGGCAGGAATGGCGCTCACTGAGTTGCTGTGAATTCACTGCCTGCACAATTCTTACATCACACAACCATGATGCTACAGTTTGAAGACCTTCATTTCGCCAATTTAGCTTAATGAAATGTGGTAAAGGTTGACTTTTGGAAGCTTTTTCACAAAACAGAAAATTCTGTATATGACTGGAAACATCAACACAAACATGAACACGCGCTTTTAGTTCACTTACCGATATCAGCAAGATACTCCTCTCGTACTTTAATCTTCAGGGGCTGTAACCAAAAAAAAAAAAACATGTTTTCTTTCTCACAGTTACTCTATGGTAAAAATATAGAGTCAGTCCTTTTTAACCGGAGCACACAAGATAATTGTGGTACCATCATCACCAGTCAGTTAATACAGGGATAACAGGATTAGACTCATTACATACAGCATCTGGTTCCAGGAACAGGGAGCAGATCTGAGGTGCAAGAGTGCGGGCATCTTTAGGAAGGGAGCCGAGGTAAGCCTCCACAGACAGGTAGAACAGCTGATGCAGAAACACAGAACACAACCATGAAAGTAAGAAATCAAACACAGACATGCACGTGCGTTTGTGTAACTTAGTGCTGACATGCACCAATTTAATTGAAATATACATAAGATTCTGGATTATCAGAAACATTTTGAACTACTAAAATTGGAGGCCTTGAATAAAAAGCTAAACTGTATTGCCACAAATATTTGCTTATCTGCCTTCACACGCATATGAACTCGAGTGTCGTCCCACACTTAACCTCCTCTTAAAGTCTGAAACATGACATAACTGCAATAAAATTCAAATTTTGGGAAAATGGGGAGTTTACTGAACCTTGTGCAAAAGATAATATAAACTGACCAGAGGGTTGGGATCCAGAAGCTGGGTAAAGACATATCTCATGAACACTGTCATGTGTGCTGGTCGTGCCTTTAACAGCTCAATATCTTGGTATGGACCGTCCATCTGAGAGAAAGACGGGAAAAATATGAAGGGATGCTCAACTGGTGGAAAATGTACAAAAAAAAGAAGAGACATCTTACAAAAAAATAAATATTATATCCATCTATCTATGTCACCTCATTAAATGCATAGCCGTCATATTCTTCATCTTCCTCCTCGGGCCCGATGATCTGAGCCTTTCCACCCTTGAACAGACACACAGATTTCAGAAAATGGAAAATACTTTGGAAAACACACATGTGCATTTTAAGTCACATAATTCATGTGCAGGGATCAATATAAATAATGAATATATTCATGCTGATAAATGATCTCAGCGACTGTCTGGTGCATTTGAAAGGAAAGGGCAAATCAAAGTGCTACACGGCAGAAACAGGCAGGAAGCGACAGCCTGAATGTCTGAGAAGGAAAGCAGCTGTTGCCTTGAAGGGTCGGCGTGTCACAGTGAACCATGCAGCACATGCAGGTACGAAGGCAGACTCCCAGTACAGACTGGAAATGTTGTGTAATACAGCATCGTCTCCTCAGTTACTGACTCTGCTCTATAAAAGTGATTAATAACATTCAGCCTGGTTTGGTAACAATCACATGACACCACTAAATCTGAAATTTCCAAAGTGATACATTAACGTGGTGCCCTTTCTCCGTCTCCCTCTCTCACTTTCTTTTTTCTTTTCGACCTGCATGCCCTCCTACCACTCCGGTACACATTTATCTTAATCGTGTAATGATGATCCTCTGATTTTGTCAGTCATTAGTCCTGTGTGCCTCCAGCAGCAGAAAGAGGAAAAAGTCTTTGGAGTGAATATGTGCATCAATCTCACCAAATCAGATAAGGTGGATATGTCGGACGTCTGGCGCCGGTGCAGGGGGGTCCTGAAGGAAAATGAGGGGGAGGAGTGGGGACTCTCAAAGGCCTGGGGAGGAGGACGAGGAGAAGGAGGGAATGAAGAAGGACGAGCGGGACGGGATGAGTGCACATGCACAAGCACACACAAACAAGCTTATTAAAAGAGAGATTGTGGCGCCTACCTCCATGTCTCCTTCACTGGAGTCTATTGATTGTCGCCCTGTGAAAGCAAAGAATCAATTGAAACTGATTATGAAGCAACCAAATCTATCATTAAAGTTTTTAGTGAATAAAGCTTAAAAGACACAGAGTGCTGTGCAAAAGACCAGCTTCACACCATGACAGAGCCTCCACTGTGTTTTATAGATGACTAAGGACCCTCACCTCACTGGATTCTTAATGGCACGACTTTAAGACACCGCTCATCTACTCTAGAAACTTTTTTTCATGACTCACTGCACACAACGCGAAGAATCGCCAAGTTTCCGGCTAATATCTTTATGGGACTCATACAATCTTCTGTCAGTCAAACTGTGTTATCTTTGTCACTTTTAGTTAGGTTCAGTTTACAGTTAGTTTCCTTTTTCATTCTTAACACAGCTTATTTGTTAAGTAGCTTAAAAAATAAACACTCCTCTGAAAATGGTCAGGTACAAGGACTGGACTGAAGATGAGTGAAAAAGCAGACAAGTCCAAATAGAAGCTCTGAAAGACTTTCAGAAAGCCTGTTGCTCAACTCCTCTTTAAAAAAAAAGAAAGAAGAAAGATGACGCGTGGCTCGAGACTTTTAAACAGCACTGTATATTGTGTAGCTTTACAAAGACCCACAGATACAAACCTTCTCCTGCTATGAAGTAGCCTGTGACAGATTCTGACCTCGTTCCCTCCTACGAACCAAAAATAAAGCGAGTTAAATGGATTTGAAGCACAAGCTTTAAACAGAAGTTACGCTTGTTTATTACCTTTATGATAGAATTAATTCATTTTTGGGGGATCGATCAGGGTTTGCAGGATAGGAATTAAAGTCTTTCATGAGATCAATACTGCACAGTTAGAGCAGCAAATCAATTTAAAAGAATGACATTGTTTTATGTCCCTGATGCAAATGGAAAAAAGCACCAAGCATGTTAGTCAGATCGTTCTGTTTGATGTTTCCCCTGAAAACATTTTTTTTTAACTTAACTGAATTTATCTGGTCATGTTGCCTTTCTAGTAATTTGGTTTGTTCTTTTTATTGTGTCTTAGTGTAAGCTCTGTCCTAGTAAGATCATTAAGTGAATGTTACAGGAGCTTTTCAGCGATTACAGAAACTGTAATAGAGTAAAACAGCCTCACCACATCTTGCTGAATCTTGACTCTGACTTGGTGAGCTCTCCTCTTGGCGCTTTCAATTCGCTCCTCCAGCAATGGCGACGGGTTCCTCAGCTGCTCATCCATCAAGTCCTGCAAATCAAGTCAGTCTCAGTCTGGTTATAAACAGCAGATTTTATCCACACAACTTTATCTTAACTAGTATTCCAAAAGCAAAACAGGCCAAAGGAGCTTAAAAAAATATTTATTCAAGTACACGGTGATAACGGGAGACAGCATGCACTAGATTTTTCTGCAACACGGGCAGCTCCCTGATATGCATCGATATACAAATAGCACAGGTGGCATGGATACCTGCAGCTCGGCCTCTTCCTGCTCCAGCATTTTCCTGAGTATCTGAGTCGCATGTTTTTGTACTTGTGGGTCCTAAAAAATGAGTGTGACACACAAAAAAACCCTGTAAATCACTGACGTTTACTCTGCTGGTAAGTAAGCTTTACCAACTAGATATCAGTCCTGAAAGTTTCATGTACTTGTAGTGGTTTGGGTCCTGTGATCCTTTGGGAGGGGGTGCTGCTCAGTCCAGAGGGCAAGGGTGGAGGTGGAGGAGGTGCAGCCTCCCCAGCCAGAGATGATCTTTGATTAAGAGTGTGATCAGTGGCGAGGGGCTCTAAGGGCAAGGAGGTGGTTGATGGAGACGGCCCTTGTAGTGTAAGTGCGACGTAAGATCCAGCTTTAAAATGATAAATGATAAAAGAATGAGGTTAAAATAAGAAAAGCAAAAACATGTAACCACTAAAGCCAAACATATACTCACATTTTATGAGCTTTACCACCTCTTGATGGGACATGGAGGCAACCAACGAGCCGTTCACCTGAGCAGAAAGAGAGACAGAATCAGTAATGTTACTATTGAATAGGAACAAAAAGCACAGATTCCCACATTCAGTGACATGGAAAGCAGTACAAACCTTTATGATTCTGTCCCCTTCTTGGACACCAGCCTTCACTGCTGCTCCACCTGAAGAGCATCCATACAAACATACATTCAAACTCATGCAAAGGGTAAAGGACGATTTAACTCACACATAGTCAGCACGGCTGTAATCCGTCACCAACCAGATCACGTGGGTCAGACTGCATTTGAACAAGCGTTCTTTACAGTGATGACTCGTAGAAATCCACAGTGACATGCCTCATTCACACAAAGTCATACAAACACTGTTCTTCCATCTATCAAAAATTCAATCACATTCACTCTGATAAGCGAATCAGAGAGCACCTCGTGGTTCCAAGGATACTTTGCCGTCCTTGGAGCTGAGCTACTGCCGCCGTTAAGCCTGAAGTGGTGTTACAACAATAGAACTACTGATTGCTGCTGGCATATTAGCAAATGAGATGGTGTTATTTGTTGTATCGCATTCATTTAATGCTAGTTAATGTTCACAGATGGGAAGCTGGATTCTGTAAACACAATCCTGGCGAGTTTACGGTCTCAGTCACTCGTTTTGGGTCATCATAACAGGATGGCTGTAGCTCAGGTCATGTACTAATCATAAAGGCTGGTGGTTTGATCCCTGCTCCAGTCTGCATGCCAAACATCCTTGGGCAAGATACTAACTCCAAGTTGCTCTCGGGCGTGAATGTGAGTAAATATTAGCCTGAAAACACTTAAGCATAGAAAAAAGTCCACTTATGAATGGGTGGGACTGTGGCGTGTTGCATAACGTGTTTGAGTGTGTGAGAAGGACTCAGTTTACCATACTGAACAACAACTCTTCACTAAATTACGTTTAAAAAGGGGCAATTATCTGCAGTATTATCTGCTCACTCATTGGCTAACAGCATGTTAATCACAAGCTGTTAGCCAGTGAGGGTGCCGTTTTACAGTCAGACCCGCCTCTCCTCCTCTCTGGGTTTTGCAACTAAGGTGACGATGGCAACGATGCTCACTGAGCCTTCAAAACCCAAAAGGTGATGTAATCGCACCTGCGTTCACCTTTTAACACGGTCTACGTTTCTATGACAACGCAGGCGCAGCATCTCTGTCTCACCTGGTCGGACATTCTGTACCAGCTTCACTCTCTCTCCACACACGGTGAAGCCGAAGCCCAGCTGGTCCTTTTGCACGACCACACATCTGTGCACAAGTCCAGTGCCTGGGGGAGAAGAAGAAGAAGCTGTAATGAGCGGCGGGATGACATTAAATGAAACAAGAATATAACGGCAACTAAAAGTAACCCATCATAAGTCGCAGTTACCTGTACTGTCAGAAATGATTTCTGCCGTTGGCTCTCTCTGCTGAGGGCCAGAGGATTTACGCTCCGAGTCCCCAATTGTCAAACTGTTGATCCTGGATTTGAAAGACGAGAAACAGAAAGAGACTTTAGTACGGCATGATACTGAACAGGCCAATTTAGGAAACGCTCTGGGAGGGACAAGGAAGCTCTGAAGGGAATAAATGAAAAACATGAGGGTCAGTGGAGGAGAGAGAGAAATCAAAAGTCAGAGAACAGGCCAAAAAGCTTAGCCAGGAATGCAGAAAATGAAGAGAGAAAAGGAGATTCAATGGAGGCAGACGGTTATATTTGCTGTGGTATTAACAGTAATAAGTGTATGAATAGCAGAGAAGAGACAAGATAGCAGTTGACAGGAAAACTCACCAAGCGGCAAAAGGGCTGAAAGCGAAGCATGACAGGAAAGAAGGAAGAAACAGAGAAGAGGGGAAGAAGCAGAAAGTCAGAATAAAGAATAAGACGGAGAAAACAACAGAGAGAAACAGACTGAGGGAGAGGGCAGGCTGCTTAAACCATCACTATGCCCTTCAGACTATTACAGACTGTAAACACTGAAAGCAGCCATGACTTCAAGGAATATATTTATGTGAAGGGGTGTGATGGAAGAACACACTCCAAAGGTTAAAGGGAATAATTCAAACAAAGGTCATTTTAAATCCAAAGAAATGTGCTGTGATCAGGACAGATAGAGCTCCTCACATAGGCAAGTAGCACTGAAACGATCAGTTACTTAAGGGTTAGGTGATCAGAAAAGAGAAACAAAAGAAATCTGAACGAAAAACTTATCTTGAGAATGTCTCTAATTCTCAAATCAAACTGGTTTTGGCTACTCCAATGTGGGGATTTGCTCCAATGTGGAACAGCTTTGTTTTAAACTGCGACAGTCTGCAGCAGACGGCAAAAATCACCAACATCACTGCAGTTCATGTCCTTCTAGAAGCCTTTTGCTTTGTTTTCCTACTCTGAGTAGTTTCACTTGAACACTTTAATTTCACTCAGTGGTTTACATCCTTCCAACCATGCTCTTCTGTTTATCCAATTCAGGGGGGCTGGAGCCTATCCCAGGTATTACAGGGCTCTGGTACATCTATCCTGGGCAAGGTAGCTCACCCCGGACCAACGTGCCTTAGGAGACACTATCAGCATAACCTTGACAAACAAAGGAGTTGCTGAGATGATTCGGGTACCTGAACAGGATCCTTCCTGTTAAGGTGTTCCAGGAGTGCTCTACCAGGAGGATGTCCCTGGGTAGTCCCATGGACAGATTACATCTCTTGGCTGGTGTGGAAACACCTCAGTGTTCACTCAGATGAGCTACAGGAGGTGGTTGGGCTTCTCTGCTTAGGCTGCTGCCTTGTGATATGGCCCCAGATAAGCGGTAGAAAATGGATGGATGGATATTTAAATGCACCAACTATGCACATGCACCACATGGTGGACTTCAAATAAGGATAGCATAAATGATATTCGGCTGTGGTGTCTCCAGCTGTCTGTGTACGTGTCCATGACCACGAGTATAATCGAGGCTTAAGCTACCCAGTAATGCAAGTTCACTCCATACCTGACAAATTAAGAGTAGGAACCCTCTCAATTTCTGGTGTTTGATTTGAGACTTCTGCAATTAATCTACGTAGCACCTACACAGGTGGTGAACACCATTGCCATCATTTAAACCTGCATGTGTTGGTCAATGGTCACATGTAGTTATATCTCCAGGGTCATGAACATTGGGGCTGTAGGTTAGATTGAGGGGTATCAGAAGGGTTAGCTCTTATGACATAGGCATAGCACAGAGCTATACTTGCAGCAGCGGCTTTGACAAAACGGCAGTATTTAGATAAAGATGTCAAAGTGTTTCTTTATCACTTAAAATTAAGTGTTCATGTAAGGATCGTGCTTGTAACGAGGTCATAAAATGTCTTTTTTCTTGTATTTTGGGTTCCTAATGTCTCCAAAGCACTGTGAAAAAAAACAAGCAGCCAACCGCTGAGAAATCTGCTGCCACAGCTGTACAATCTGTAGGCTTCACTAACCCCCAAACCCTGACATGAGCGACCACCGGGCAGCTGTCCTACCTGAACAGTTGGTTGTCTGTCTTATTGGCTGCCCTGCCGTCACATGACACACACAAAGACACAGCAGTGGGAGGTAATGGGCACGTGCAAATCGGGGAAAACAGTATACAGCAGGAGAAAGAGGAAAGACACATGATAAACCACAAAGATGCATCACAAAGACGATCACACAGTGCAGGGATATATGGTGAAAGTGGTGACATTAACAAACAAGACGGGGTGCACTACATCCAGTGTTTTATTAGAGGAAATGCAGATTGAATGACATAAATGAACATTATTGTGCAATCTTTTGCTTTTTTTCCTGAAGTCAACAAGCCGTCTGAGCTGTTCTTCCAGTGGCCTCACTGCACATCCATCAGATAAAAACAATGCTCACCTGGGAATACCACATTTTTTTAGCGAGGCGTAAAGAGGCATACCTTTACCCACATAAACTGTCTGGGTGTAGCGGATGTGAGGCTCCTACCTGTCCAGCGTGGAGGTGGGTTGGCGGAGACTCATGTCTGCAGCCTTTATAGACACTCCTCTGCTTCCTGGTGCGGGATTCAAAGCTGTCACTGGGCTGCTTTTGTTATCACCACCATGATCTCCGTTTCCTCTTCAACTATCAGTCCGTACAATGAGCCTTTCTGTTGCGCTTTGATCAGATCTCCACGCTACAGGGCTGCGGGTTTAGATCAGACACAGTGCTCTTCATGTTTCACACCAGTGGTTCCAGTTTTAGGCTCAGTAGGATTTAAAGGAAAGTGCTGCTAAAACTATAAACGCTCAAATCTCCCCAGGGTTTGTCTTCACTCCTTTACATTAGTGGTTAAAATTAAATACAGATCGTTGGTGGCTTGGTGCTGAGGTCTCACATTAGTGGCAAATGGATAGAGGACAACCTACTTCCACAAAGATCATCAATCATGAATGAATGGGCTGATATGTCTGGCTATGCTCCAGGAGGTCAACAACATCCCATTTTTGGGTTTTTTGTTGTTGTTTTTTGTTTTTGTCTGTGTCAGGTTTAAAGTAACTGCTTAAGCATGGATAAATAATGTTCAGAGGATTAACTGGATATTCGGTGATTACGTGCAGTTAAAAGAAATACTAATGCGAACCTGACACTCACTTGACTCAGACTTGTTTACATGTGGAGGCTTCAGCAGAGATCCCAGACTAAATAACCCCATTCAAATGAGTACTGCTCATTCACTTTGCTTTCACTGATAATGCTTAAAAATAATAAAGCCACCACAAAGTGAATATGATCTGTAGTGATGTACATGTGGCTATCTAGTGCAAATTACTCAATACACAAGTATCAAACTGCGTGTATTAGTGAAACAAAAATATATATATATATATACACGTTTACAAACAGCCTTATCACTCACCCGAGCTAGCTGTAAGCTACAGAAAACAGTCTGTTTTTCTTAACAATGTAAACAACAGCAAAACCAAGACGCTACAAATGGCTTTGCATTAACGCTACTGTCTAACTAAAGGGCTAGCCGATTAGCAGATTACTGGGTATTGGCTCACCCCGCAGATGGAGCTTATATACAAGTAAGCACAGCAAAGAAAGAAAGCGAAAGGTGATCTCCACCGTTCACCTGTGGCTTTGTGTAATTAGCTGACTTGAAGATGATTGCAGCGGCCTGCTAATTGCAGCTAGCGTTAGCTCGGTGAAGTCAGCTCTACGAATCGGCCTCTTTCAACCAGCGGCATGGCGTTGTGTCTCACGCAGAACCGAAGCGCTGCGTGCCCGGCTTTCACCTGCCGAGCCTCCGAGCTAGTCTGCTAACCGGCTATATCTGCAAGACGAAAGACCGGCATGACTTTAGCTGCATGTGAGCAGGTGGATATCACAATGGGAAAGGAAAGGGGAGGGGAGTCAATGCAAGCCCCGGCTTGTTATATCCAGCAGTCTTGTTTTCGTGCAAATTCACACGCAGAGTTGCATATTAGCTAGTTAGCGAGAAGGCAAAGCGATTCCAGTAAGAGCTCCACCTCAGGTCTTCTTTCCAAATACACAGCGGTTACAGCAGAATCTGCTTCCCTCTCGTGGTCTGCCACAAAAACCCGGATTTAATTAATAATCGTCGTAGCATATGTTTATCTCCTCTCCAAAGTCCTTGACATTAAGCTGTATGCTGTGCTGTTATCTTGCTGTCTTGTCTGGCTGCTGATCCACCACCATATCCTCAAGGATCACACGACGTACACACAGAGCGTAAACAGCGCCCTCGTTTGGTCAGGGTTGTGTACTACAACCGGACAGTAACCAGACAGGATAAGTTTGAATTGCATCCGTTTATGGAAAGATTTGTATTTTTTTTAATAAAAATATATTTGTAAATAATTGACATAAATATTTATTTTTTTCCGTCGCTGTCACTCTAGCTTGTTTGTGCCACAGATTTTATGAAACATATTTTCATAAAAAATAAATATCATCATATTTAACAAATTATGGAAAATATATTTTTTCATGTTTCGTTATATTTCTTTCAATGATTTTTCTTTCCCGTGAGCAAGTCAAGGTATTGGAATCATATCACAAAATTTTGAGTTATGCATGCTTTGGTTCAGTAGCAGGTACGGTGGGTTTTTTAGTAGTAGACAATATGTGAGGGACCTATGGACAGAAACTGTACAGATGTCTGGTTGTTTTGGCCTGATGTGCTCTGTAGCGCCTAGAGGGGAGCAGTTGGAACAGCTTGTGTCCAGCGTGTCATTGGTTTGCAATGTAGTCCCGCATGAAGTGCAAGTTGGCACCAATGAATTTTTGACTTTCCGTTGTAGACCCTTGTAGTCCTGTGGCTGATCCAAACCAGTAATGGGTGAGCAGAGATCAAACTGGATTATTGCAGAGTAGAACTGGATCAACAGCTCCTGAGCCAGGCTGACCTTTAAGCTGGTGCAGGAAGTCTATCCTCTGCTCTGTCCTCACTTAAGATCCTGGGAGACTGTGGATCCCAGAAATCTGAAGAATTTTACAGCACACACAGTGCCGTTCAACCCCACATCTTTATGCACGCTCATCACCATCCTCGATGAGTCTAATGACATGTCATCTGTGAACTTCACGATTTTACCAGACGGGTGTTCTGAGGTTTGCTTATTGGGAGGAGAGGAGAGAGGAGGACACAACCCTGGGAGGCCCCTGGTGATTTTCTGGATGCTTGATGTGATTCTTTCCAGCCTCACTTACTGCTTCCTCTCTGTGAAATTCCACTCAGGAGTCTTGACATTTCTACTCAGAAGTAACTAGAAAATTCGAGATAGTAATACTGTGGGGTTATTGTGTCAGAATTTTGACACAAAATGACATAACTCACACTTTTGACCTATCGCTGCCGGTTGATTTAATTATTCATTTAGTTATTTATTTATTTACTGGCAGTAAGCTTCCACGCCCATCCAGCAGCGCTACACAACTAAGCATCTCTAGTGAGGAGCACGACATGCCAGTAATGACCTTCTTATTTGTTCCTTTATTGAGTTATAAGCCATCCCCGAGAAGAGGTTTTAGCACTTTACCAAATACGGCAGTGTGGGGCGTGGGCAGCAGCGGTTTTTGACACGGGCGACACGGGCGGTTGCCCGGGGCGGCATCACGGGCATCGGCAAAAAAAAGAAAAAAAAATGCTCGTACTCACATCGGGAATGGCATAGGCACCGATCGGTTTTCTATCGCCCATTTGCTGGGAGTAAGGGCGTCCTCTGTTTGCGAGGTGCACCTGCTGCTTGCGGCACAGGGAGTAGAGGGCGGGGCGGCGGGGGATTCTCTGGCTGGCTGGAGCAGCATCTAATAAACAACTCGCAAAATAAAACAAAATAAAAACAACAAACACTAAAACAGCGGACATTATGATACAGACTTATAATTTGCACCGACGTTTTTTCGAAATTCTACACGCGAAAGGTGAGCTCGAGAGCCCTCGGTGCGCCTGCTCGCTGCTGAAGTCAAAGTAAACTTTATTGTCATCTCCACTACATACAGTCCAGTATATAGAGAGACGAGACCACGAGGCTCCAGTTACAGCAGTGCAAGTAAACAAACAATAAATATAAGAAGCGTAAGAAAATAAATCTACACTGCAGTTTGGTGATTTAAAGTCTCTCACACAACCTGTTGACAGGGGAGAGGGGCCGGCTGCTTCATAATGTTGTAAATCCAAGCCCATTATGTATTCATGATTTGAATCCTGGGTTGTGCGAAATCACAGAAATAAACCCTATAAAGTGAATAATATGTGAACTGAAGTGTAGGTCTATTAGGTTATGTTGTGGCGATCCTCAGGTTGGGGGATTTGTGTTCATACTGGAGTGCAAAATTAACACCAATGGAAGATGGACAAGAAAAGTTCAAAGCCATCAGGTCCTCAGTTTAGAAAAAACAGAAAACAAGAGGAGGAGAAACGAGCAAGGGAGTGTTCGCCCGGGGTGCCAAACAGGCTAGGACCAGGAGACAGATATCGCTGGATAACAGAGGGGATGCGCCGAGGAACTTAAAGCTTTAACATTATTGTGAAATAAAACTCCTGGTGGCTCAGAAATCGGTAAGATCCCGCCTCAGAATGATATGTTGCTCTGAAAGATTTTAAGTAAAACTTAGCAGCTCGTGTTTATCGCGGTCTATTCTTGGAGTAGAGCTGAAAGGCATAGCACCGAGGCGCGGTATGTCCGCTATCTGACATGGAAAACTTAACTACTGAGTTAAACGGTTGTTAAACGCCTCTGTTATACTCTTAGAAATGAACACGCCTCCTCTGGCATGAAAACGAGCATAGATTTCTTTCATAGCTTTGTTATTTTAAGAGAGGTAAGAAATCCTGCAATAGCCTATTTGATTTAACATAACCTGTTATTTGTGAGAAACTTTCTTTGCCCCCATTGTACAACAGTGTGGGTGGTTCCCTTTAACTTTTAAGCTTTATATGGCACGACCCCCTCGACTGGGTTTTGTTAAGAACCTATAAGCATGGTATGCGCGCTACCAAAAGCGTAAACCCAAACCTGGTTTCCTGTCAGCAGAAGAGGCCACATAACCTACACCGCACAACCGCACCTTTTTTCTGATGTATCAGGACCATGCTGCTGCTGCAATTTAACAGTGATCTCTCTCAGTTTAGATCACCATGCATGGAGTGTGTTTAAACCGTGATAATTCAACAGGAAGTTAATAAAAGTGTTTCTGGATGTTGATCCCTGTTAAAAAAAAAACACCTGAAAATAGTCCTAATATTCTGGCCTGATTACCATTCAGTCTGAAAAACTGCTTCGATGTTGCTACTGTTGCTTCCTGGATACTCGCTGTTAGCTCTTCAGAGCTGCTTCTTGAGTCACTTTATGTGCAACAGGATATGTGACACCGGAGTTAATGGCAATTGAACGGGATCTATGGGGGCGGGGGTGAGATAGAGTTGATCTTCTAGTGAAATTCGCCACACCCTAGAAATAAGAAATGTACCTAAAAATTACCCTAAATAACTGTAAAATGGCAACGGTAAATTGCCTAAAATCAAAAAGGTGAAATGCTTGTAATATCTATGTTAAATTACTGTATATTGACAAACGGTTATTTGCTTTTTTTTGTCTTTGAAAACAACAGGAAAAATCTGTAACATTATCTACAATTAATCACCCTACAATTTACATAATAATTCTGTATGAATGACAATCTTTCCTGCTTTTTTCATTTGAATTTACAGTTTACAACTGTATGTTAATTACTCAAAACATACCGTGCTTTTCATTTTAACAAAATGTCAAAACACTGTTAGAATTATTGTGAAAATTACGGTGAATTTTGTTTTAATATTAACAAGCTCAGATTGGTTGATAAAACAGTATATCTTAACAGTAAATACGAGCAATTATTAAAAATAAAAAATGCGTAACTTGTGAAGCTCTTTGATCAAAACAGCTGTTTTTAAATGTGCTATATAAATACATTTTGATTTGATTGTGATTTGATATAAGACAGCTATTTATAATGAAACTAAATTTTGTGGGATAATAATGGCAAAAGGCTATTTTCTATTGTAGAACCAATTACCCTAAAATAACACCGTCTGTGTGCTTTTACAGTGATTTTTAACCCTTTAATGCACATCATGAGTCACAAGTGATTGTGTTTTAATCTTCCTTATCATTGAAAAAAAATACATTCAAATTCAGAATCTCAGGGATTCATCAGTTAACTTGGTTTGATCATTAAACATAATTTTTCTTATTAGTTAATTTCTTACTCCTCTCCTCGAACTTCAACCATTCATCCGTTTATGACCACTGTGTACCCAGGGCTTGACTGGGACAAAAAATCAGCCC